TTGCAAGCTAAGGGGCTCATGCAGTCTAATGTAGGGGCCTTAATAATTACCTATACTATTTTTTGGGGGGTTTCCTCTATAATAGTTATAGTCTAATGGGCCCACAACCCCTATTCTAATTTAATGTAATTACTAAGGCCCCTATATTATGCAGCCCCTTCCCCCCAAAAAGTCCACTGGTTTGAGTGTGGGCCTAGCCCAGGCCTGGTTGGCCAGCATCCTGGGATTGAGAGTGTCAGGGCTTGCGGACGATGCAACGTCAGGGCGGACGTGGTTTCTAGGAACCGATTTCCCTGCTACTGGGCTATACCCATAGGCCCCATAGTAGTTCCTTTTTGGTATTACCTAATAGGATCCTAAATACAAGCCACCAAAAAGGAACTACTTTAGGGCCTATGGGTAGAGCATGATAAACCCTAAACCCTGGATCTTCCCCCAAAACACAAAGCCCTCAGCCTAAACACCGGAATCCCTTTGGCCTTGGACACCACTGGCCTTCATTTCTTAAACCCTGTGCCCGGGGTTTTCCGGTTAAGATCATTCTACGATGTGTTGTGGCCCCATTCAACTCAAAAAACGAGGCGGGGAAGGGGACCCTGTAAGGCCGTAAGGCTTATGGTTGGTGTCTTGTTCGAGTATCAACGCCAAGCCCGAAGTGCATGCCAATGCCAAAGTGAAGCTGGCCACGCTTTAGGGTTCAGGGTTTAGGGTTAGCCCTAAACCCTAAACCCCAAACCCTAATTTAACCCAAAAACCCTAAACCTTAAACCCGAAACCCGAATTTAAACCCAAAAACCCTAAACCTTAAACCCGAATTTAAACCCAACATCCTAAACCTTAAACCCTATAAACCCTAACCAGGGCGCTGTCGAAGCTCCACTGTTGCCACGCAGCTCGCTGGCAAAGCATGCCTGGGCTCTGGTTTTTGCCTACAAATAGGCGGTGCCCTCGATGGAGGTTTGGGGTTTAGGGGTACATACATTAAGGCTCTAAGGGTCCTACTGCCAGGCCCTTTTCGTCAGGAATTTTTTTGGGTCGAGTCAGTAGCCATGTCATAGAGAATTGCCAATATGACTTTCAACATCGCTGAAACAGCCAGAAACAAGGGCACCGTTCTACTTGAGGTCTGACTTGACGTCTTTTACTTTCTGAGACTCCAACATGGGCAATCGGGGCAGATGGGCTCCTGGGGCTTAGGGGGGAGAGGCTTAAGCCCCCCTCACCTAGGTCGTACCATGTATAGATATGTGGGTTCTTGCGGGATAGGCTTTTGCCCGGTATTAATAGGAACCCTCGGAATCACCAGCTTTTGCTTCAAGCGGCTCCAACACCCAGACGGTCTCTGCGACGTTTAAGGCGCTCGCCTGCCAGAGTGTTTAGGGCTTTAGGGTTTAGGGTTTAGTGCTCCCGGTGGAGTCGCTGCAGACAGGATGCAAAAGGGCTTAGGGCTTAATGAGAAGATCGCAAAGCCTCGCGACGATCCGGCTGACGACGCAAAGACCCACTACGAACGACAGACACGAAGGGAAGATTCGACAAGAGATCAAGGGCGTTTCAAAAATAGATCAAGATCAATTTCAATATGTACACACAGACAGAACAAGCACAAAATAAAACAAAAAAACACAACCATCGACTGCTTCCTATAAGGTTTTACCCACCACCTGCACGAGGCCGGCGCCTAAAAGCCAAGAAGCCAAACAACCTTCAGCCCATGGAAGCCCTGAGGCTATAATCCACCTCCAATGCCAAAACGCCTTCCAGCTCGCATCCAAAGGTGTGGAGGAACGCGGCCCTCGCCCAAAGCAGAGATAAAGTTGTGGAATCGGGGGGGGGGGGGGGGGNNGTGCCTTGCTCAAACATCCAAGTCAGAAGGATCCTGCTCTTTCTCGGGTATATGATTACCATCCCAGCATATCCCACCATTCAGTCCCAATGAAACTTGGCAACCGGCTTCGACAAGCTCTAGAAGGCCTTGAATGGGCGTGAAAGGATGGGAGATCTTGGCGTTGAGCCGGGCTATATATTGCAGACGGTGCGGCTTGGATTTGGTACGCTTGTTTGTCTCATCGTCTTGAGAATGAGGCTTTTGCTACAAAGGGTTCGTATATAAGGCCCAACATTTCCTGAGAATCCACATGAAAGGTTCACCACAGGAGTGGGCTAAGGGCTCTAGGTATAGCAGATATGGAGTATACACTACGGCTTTGTCAGTTTGTTGCTAAAGCTCATCTCTAGTCTAGATTAGCGGGCATTTCCTCTTGCCCGAATGAGAAGGTTCGCGGTACATCGGGGTCCATGCAGCGCAATCGGTTCTGTTTTTCGGTGCTCCCAGAATTAGACATGGCCCTTGCTACAATCGACGTCTAATATGAACCATATAGGCTGTAGGTTTCAAGAAGCTCAACCGGAAACACGAGTCAGTCGACGCATCCTGGAACCCGAAAGCCCTCAAACTCCATGATACAGAAGCCTGGGTACTTGACATGGGGTTTCTGGGGGTTCTACACTACCCGTTCTTATCTCACAGCAGGCCAAGCGGCGTAAAACACTCAGCGACTTCCGCCTGTTTGCGAGTTTTACTTACAAGCATTCCACCACCAACCTCTTTGGCAGGCCCGTCTGCACTAGATGCAAGGGTTTAGGCGGTTTAGATTCAGAGCCGACAGTCGAGCAGGGTCTAGTCAGGAAACGCTGGGCTTGAAATCATCCAGGGCTCAACAAAGGGTTTCTTGAAACGAGAGGTCCTTTTTGCCCGGGGGTCTCGCCATACTGCTCTGTAGGGCCTTGGGGCTTTCTATTTTCTTTAACCCCCCAAGAAAGACACTAAGCATCATTCAACCAGCCACATGTGTGCTGCAGGCAGCAGACGAAACTCCATTGCACTTCCAGTTCGGGCTGAACCCGAAACCTTGCCCACTTCTCCCTAACCCCCCCAGGTACCTACTATAAAGAGGGTACTAGAGCCTCTAGGGCCCTATGTTTGTCGGTACTTGGGGGGTTAGAGTCTGTGGAATCCGGATCTTTGACCCTGCGTCTGGCTGTTGAGTAAGTTGACTGCCGGAGCCATGGAGGCCGGTGCCTAACATAGGGGTCTAGGGTTTAGGGCTTAAGGGGCCTTCATCATTACAATGGGGTTTCGCGGGTTCCTTTGTATAATAGAGTATAAAATACCCCAAAACAACATTCTAAGTATTGAGGTCCCTATAGTAAACACTTCGGACTCCTAGCTTCCCTCATGTAGGCCTATGTAGGAAAAAGCGGGCCGGAACTCTCAAACCCTAATGTCTTCGTTGGAGACGAGACACTGAAGTGTAGGAAACTGAGCCGGACTCTTAAACCCTGATATGTTCTGGCTTGAATGTCTTCATCACTGGGAGAGCCTTGGCTTCAGCGCATTGGCTTTACGAAGTCCCGGGGTCAGGGAGAATCAGCGTTGACTGGACTAAAACATGAACCTGATGTCAAAGAGAAGCCCTGAAAGAACAACAGACAGCTTATGCTGGTTGATGTGTTGAGTTTCGAAGGTGTCTGGTAGTCCTGCCTCAGCTGATCGTTGGGGGCAGTAGGCACCTTAGCAGCATGAAAACCGCAGCAAAACCAAACAACACTGCGTAAGCGCAAACTCTTGGGCTTGGCCAACCTAAGCGGCTAGGGTTTAGAGCTTACGCTTCAGGGTTTCAGGGTGATGGAAGCCAAGGCTGTGCTTTCGGCCGGTAATTGTAAACCCCGATTGAGGGTTGGGCAGCCACTCATGCTTGCCAACGGTTCAATCACCCCCAGCCACAAACAAAATGCCGGTTCAATTGACGAACCTTGGGTTAGGGTTGAGTGTTGCGGCGATTGGGGTCTAGGTTTTCGGACATCAAAGGCATGTTCCTCCTATGGCAGGGATGTCATGCTCTAAATGCGGAAGGAGAACATCCCCTCTTGTGCGCAGACAGGTTGAGTGCACGACTGGATGCTGGAGCAGGCTTGGGGGCTTGAGTTTACGTAGTTGTTTTGCATAGGGGGCGTGTGGTGTCTTTTGATAAAATTTCAGGAGCTGCTTTGGACCAAACGATTGAACCCCAGTTGCCAGCGAGCGGCCAACGTCCACGGTAAGTGATCTGGGGGTGTAGCCTAAGCCACAAACTGTTAAGACGCACAGAACCTGAAAACTCTGTCGCTTTAGAAGGTGCTTCCGAAATCTGTTGTCATGTGCCCGGATCTGAGTCACGTCAGTTTGGAAGGGTTCAGGTGCAGGCTAGGTGGGTGGAACTTACATGTACAAGCGTTCTGCCAGGGCTATCGTGAAAGCATCCACCTGCGAACTATCCCAGGAAGCTCAAAATCTTTGCTGGAGGGGAGGTGCTGTCCTGAAAGAGTGTTGGGTTACGGATATGGGTGAGAGGCCTTACCAAAAACATCGTGTTCCTTTACTTATAGGCTATAGTGAAGAGCTGATAGAGTCTTGAAGTTTGAGGCTGAGTGCCCTGGGTTTAACAAGGCTAGTCTTTTAGACTCTAGGGTTATATAGTAGTTGTTTAAGCCCCAAAAAGGCTAAGGGTTACCTACTCAGCCCCTCCAGTGTAGATGCTCGAAACTTCAGGCTGACAGTCCGATGTAGCTTGGGACCCAAGGCCCTTGAACCCTTAGATTAGTGCCTTTAACGTTCAGGGTTCAGGGTTTTGAAGTCGTGGTGGCCCCGGCTAAAGCCCTTCTTGGCTACAGAGTTCCCTGGACCAACAAAGGTCAAAGTGTTGGCATAAAGACGGTTTAAGGCTTAGGATTTAGGTATTGGGGTTTATGTAGGGGAATATAAGGTTTAGGACTTAGGGTTTAAGTATCGGGGGTTTGGCTTCAAGGTTCGATACTGGTATTATGGTACCTAAACCCCCAAAAGTAGGTAAAATAATGGCCCAAAACCTCCGAAAGACTATTGTTCTACATACTTTTGGGGTCCAGGTAATGCTCTCCTCAGTGGCTAGGCCCTGCAACATTACGCCCCGCCATGCTGCCCGCAGCTTTCAGCGATCGCAGAAACCGCTCCAGCCTCCCCTGCGCTGACGGACATCGATTGGATGTTTGGGGAGTTTAAGGTGTATGATTAGGAGGCGTTTCTGTGGTATTCTAACGAACACGTGAAAAGCCTCACCACTGACCACCTTTGCACGATACCGCTGAAACGATTTACAACCATCACGCCACATGTAGCAAGAGCGCTTCGGTGGCATGAAGATAGGGCATACTGTTCCCTGACAGTACTGTACTGGAATGCTAGCTGCTACCAGCAGCCACCTTCCATGATCCCCACGCTGAAGACGGGGAAATACATGCCACCATGGACCACACATTCATCCGATAGGGCCTGTGGGTTGTTCTGCGGGGATCCCGTGGGCTGTTATGCTCGTCAGCACGGTATGGATCCGCAGCCCAACCCTTCAACAAAAATTGGGTCACAGCCCAATAATCGAAGACGGCATACCTCAAGTTAATGGGTTTCGTACCCATGATGGGGATATGCTGCAAAGAAGCACGTACGCAAGATCGCGGAACATATTGGTGGACATATTCTTGACTCTTGACGGCGACCCTTTCAAGGGTCCCCTGAAAAAAAAGCGAAACGGAACAAACCTGCTCCTGCTCTAACTCCCAAACCCAAGCTCGCAAACACCAAGAGCCCTGCTCGAAAACACAATTTCTTGCTTCCAGTGTTTCAGGTGTAGGGTGTTGAACTTAGCTATACAAAAGCCCAAATCGTCCTGCGGCTCACAATAATCCTCACGCAGTCGGCCCACGACGAAGCGTGCCGTGGGCGGTGCATCCAGGGCACCGAGCACAGCGCCTTTACAGCAATGCCGGTTTGGTTTTGGGCTCCGGGGTTACTGCCCGGGGCGTACAGGGATCTTTGATGGTTAGAATGTGGTTCTGTAGGGTTTGATTGCTAATGATCTGGTCTTACAAATGTTTGCAAAGGGTTCCGGGGCACCATGTGCTTTAAAACATGTTGAGAATGAGGCCGTGGGATGCGTTATAGTCAAACTATATAGGGACTACTACACAGAGTACTACTTCGTTGAGTGAGTTCAATCCCAGCCACAAGGGCGTGTTTGGGCGGTAAGGGCTCGATTTCTCATCTCAAGCCCGGGCCTTCAATTTTGAGGAAGGTGGTCTGAGTAGGGTAGAGCTGTGACTTTTGATAGCAGCGTGGGCCGAGGCCGGAAAAGACTTAGAGTGACAGTCAGGGCGGGCTGGTGGACTCTCAGAACGAAGATGATGCAGCAACAGAGGGTCATTCCGTCCGAACACGACATCATTAGATGCTACGGGGCTCTCTCTCAAACCCTGACCAATATACATCCTACATGTCCCGACAAGATACACCCTAAACCCCTAAACCCTA